ACACCTAAATGCCAAGTCTGGACTTCAAAAATAGATTCTGAAAGTTTAACCAGCATTATGGTAATATTCTTAAAAAAGAAATCAAATTTTCTGATCCCATTACTTTTAGACTTGCGATTTAACACATGTAATATCATGTAATGATGTGCATTACATTTCAATCACAGGAGGAGAAAATGTTAAATGTTATCAGTAAAATAAGTAATTTTTCATATTGTTTGTTTTGCTTTACAAGTCTGAAATGCAATTTTTTAAACATATATTTTCTTTTTAACCCCAAGGACAAAAAGAATACACTTAGAACAGACACAAAAACATATAGGTCCATGCCAAGCTATGAAAGATTTATGCTGAGGGTAAGTTCTGTTATTATATATTAGAATTTAATTGTCAGACATAGGGTTATGTCTAAAATTTTACTGTTGTATTTATATCAGTGATAAGCAATATTTTGCACCTGAGCTGACTTACATGTATCACAAAAAAATGTTATAACTAATTAGATAACCTGAGTCAGTCATGACCTATTGCTATCTGTTTTTAGCTCACCTGAGCTGAAAGCTCAAGTGAGATTTTGCTGATCACATTTTGTCTGTAGTCTGTCTGTCTGTCTGTCTGTAAACTTTCACATTTTTGACTTCTTCTCCAGAACCACTGGCCTATTTCAACCAAACTTGCCACAAACCATCCTTGGGTAAAGGGGATTCAATTTTGTTCAAATAAAGGGCCACACCCTCAATAAAAGGGAGGTAATTAAGAAATAGTGAAAATGTAGTGGGATGTTTTAAAAATCTTCTTCTCAAGAACCACTGGGCCAAAAAAGTTGAAACTTATAGGAAACCTTGTATGTCAAAGTGTAAATTCAAATTTGTTTTAATCATGAGCCCCGGGGGTAGGTTGGGGCCACAATGGGGGATCAAAGTTTTACATAGGAATATATAAGAAAAAATCTTAAAAAATCTTCTTCTCAAGAACAGCAAAGCCTTGTTTAGTCATATTGATAAGGAAGCATCATCAAGTAGTGTAGATTCAAGTTTGTTCAAATCATGACCCTCCAGGGGTAGGGAGGGGCCACAGTGGGGGATCAATATTTTACATAGGAATACATAGGAAAAAAACTTTAAAATTCTTCTTCTCAAGAATAGCAAAGCCATGAATAGTCATTTTGAAATGGAAGCATCCTCAGGCTGTGTAGATTCAAGTTTGTTTAAATCATGATCCTCTGGGGATAGGATTGAACCATAATGGGAGATCAAAGTTTTACATAAGAATATATAGGAAAAAATCTTCTTCTCAAGAACAGAAAAGCCATGATTAGTCATGTTTATATGAAAGCATCATCAGGTAGTGTAGATTCAATTTTGTTCAAATCGTGAACCCTGGGGTAGGGAGAGGCCACAATTGGGGATCAAGTTTTTACAAAGGCATATGGAGGGAAAAATTTTTAAAAAATTTCTGCTCAAGAACAACAAAACCATATGTTTTATGAATATTTCTTATGGCCTGCGGGTGTGTCATCACCTTGACCTAAGGTCATTTGGGCAAGTTCAAGGTCGCTGACAGAAAAAAAATCATAATTCGTGTTTACACAAAGATTGCTTATGACCTGAAGGTGTGTCATGACCTTGACCCAAGGTCATTTGGACAAGTTCAAGGTCACTGACAGAAAAAGTTCATAATTCGTGTTCAATCCGTATCTTTCCTATGGAGAATAATTTTGGATGTTGGGAGTATCCACTTCACACAAAGATTGTTATGACCTGAGGGTGTGTCATGATCCTGACCTATAGTCACATACTGTAGAAAAAATGGATAAATGATGCATCCATACTTTCCAACAGAGGAATACTTGAAAAATTGTTATTAATTTTTCAATGTAATAAAAAACAATATTATTATTAGTATTGCTGTTTTACTAGGCTATGCCAAAGTTTCATTCATTAAAAAAATATAATAAGCAATTACCGGTAAATTTTCTCTCTAAATGTATAAACAATTTTTGAACGCCTTTTAGATCCTAAAATACTAGTATTAGTGACTTGGCATCTTCTCTGAAAAACCCAGTGGGGGGTATTTGTCCATATTGGACAGTTCTAGTTTAGTTCTAAAGGGAATCAACCAGGAGTTATATGTAGAAAATAATAATGTTCTGAAAAAAACTATGTGTTTTTCCATATGCAAATTCATTTAATATTTTCTTTTTCTTTACAGATGAAAGGGAATTGCAGAAGAATGAATTGATGTTAACATCTCAACATTAAATTTGGCTTAAATTTGAATATGTCTTTTGTTGTGATTGCCTAAAGAGCAATTAGGATCAGGAAATTTGAGGTGAAGGATATCCAGATATGTACCTTCAAAATGTGGATCATTCAACAGATGAAAAGAAAATAAGCCCCTGAAGAAAATTATGTCAAATGCATGAAATGAATATTTCAATTGCACATCATTTTTGTTTCACGTATGTTTACAATATATATGTGAAAAAGAATGTTCGGTGGTCAAAACATATGTTTAACCATGGTTTGGCACATGTATGGTACTTATACATTTATCATATGAGCAGTGCATTTAACAAACATGTTAAACGCATGTTTCTAAAAACATACGTTACACACACGTTGCACGTACGTTATTCATACGTGAACCATATGAATAACGTACGTGTGCAACATGTGTGTAACGTATGGTAGTCAATACGTGTGTTAAACGTACGTGTCACGCATGATATTCATACGTGTGAAAACGTATGTTTAACATCCGTGGTGCTTTTTTCATGTGATACGTACGTGAAGTCACGTACGTATCACATACATTTAACGTATGTGATACGTACGTGGCATATTTTGCTGTGTAGATAGATAGATAGATTATTATGAAATATCTTGAAATAAGTTTGGTAAAATAAAAATAAGTTAATGGTCAAGTTAACAGAGTTAAAAATCATAGTATCATAGTACACATGTATTTGTATTTGGAAAGATATTGACACAGGTAATGAACATGTCAAATAAGAACACCCTAATGTTCTCTCATTCAAAAGTTATCACTGCTAAATAAAATTTAAATGTAGGTGAAAGGTCAAGGTAACGGGGTTAAGTCATAGTTCATTTGGAAAGGTCTTGTCACAGTTAATGTACATGTGAAATATGAAAATCCTTTCTTTTCTCACTCAAAAGTCATAACCAAGGTTATGTTTTTTTGTGATAGACAGTCAGACTGAAAGACTAACAGACGAATGAGGTTTAATCTCCCCTCGCTTTTCCTAGAGCATTGGACAATAAATCATACTCGTTAATAGTTTTCTTTGCTTTTGGGAGAGGGGGTTATTAACAAAAAAAGAAGGAAAATTCCGTTTTGTGGTGTGGTTTGATAGGTGGGGGAATAAATTTTGGGGCGTAGCTAAAATACATAGGACGACAAAAATATCTTATGTGGAAGGTGGTTATGCTTAAATTTTCGTAAGGGATTCATTTCTGTTAGCTTAAACGTCTAATCCTTCTTTTAAATTATGATGATGAGGTGGAAAAATGAAAATTCTTGGGTGGGGGTCTATGATTGTCTATCTATATAACAACGAATATTGTAGTTGGCATGTGTTGTTCGATTATTATTAACAATGCCGAAATACCGACCTTTTTTTTCTCTTTCAGAAAGGGGGAGGGGCTTTTATACCTGCTGAATAGGAAATTACATATGATATTACGGGAACACTTCAGTTCAATAGCTGACAAGAACGTAACAATAACATTAAGGTTATGGTAGGAACAGGGCTGCTCTATTTTTTTTTTTTATTTCAAGACAATAGATTCTATATATATATATATATATATATATATATATATATATATATATATATATATATATATATATATATATATATATATATATATATATATATATTTGAACTTATTCTTAAAAAAGGAATCTTTAGAATGTTTTGGTTGATTTATTGGTACTTTCTTGCTGAGAGAAGCCGCACGTGCTTTTGTAGGTTTTTTGTTCATTAAATATTTTTCTAGCACAGATTAAAAAAGTGTCCAATATGTAAAATAAATCAAGTGAAATAAACCTTTTGGTATATTAATAAAATCATACTCTCAGTTTCATATGATATGATATCGGAACTATATACGCGATGTCATATTAATATGACTATATATGATTACATTTATAGTCAGATCTAGAAAGGTGACTGAATGGCAGCTGAGCTCTGTCCTTCAGGCATCTTTCAGTCACATTTCAGTTAACTGAATGGCAGAGTTCATCCTGTGCTTGCATAATTATCTTTTTTAAACAAACATTTATTCCAGTACTTTATTGCCGTTATTAGAGTAATGTAACGTTACAAAGTTTACAGTTTGACATATCGCAGGTCTTCAAATTACAGTGTTGTGCATTGACATTACGTATTAGTTAAATTTCTTTTACATTTTGACCAGGCCTATTAAGTTCGATAGTTAACATAAACAAGTTGTTATAGTTTAATTTGCAAATCACAAATATACAGCAAAATAAGTTTATGAAATTATAGAGTTGAACCCGTTTGCTTCCCATAATTTACAGACTCGTGCCTCATCTACCGTTAATTCAGATTATGTCCGTCCTTTTTTGGACGCCATATAACATCAATTCAATATCAATGACTGTTGGTTTTGCATCGGTGATTGTTCTTTTTGCAACGGAGTCTGTTGGTTTTATTTTTAAGTTGTTTGTTATTTTGTATTTCAGTACGGAATTGCATTGTTTGATATGCATTAATGTCTTTCCACCTCCCATATCATCTCGAACTTCTTAATTCTAAAGATCATTTTGAATTATTCCTAAAACTACATTTAATTTTCTTGTAGTTTTGGCCTACTCCAGCATAACTGTGTGTAATTCAAACATTTGCCAAAATGCTCTCTCAAACTATAAAGGATTTCATTGCGAAAACAACGGCAGTAACTGCATATTGTCGTCCCCTTGTAAAGATAATGGTCTTTGTTCAAAAGATCATGGATCATGCTATGTACAGACCAACGGCACACATTATCTTGGCCTTTGCAAGTAAGTCCAAGTCATGATTGCCTACATGTTTGCATATTGATAAAATTTGGACGTTATTACGTTTTAACGATGGAGTTAAGAAACTTTACTATATTTAGCTCACCTGCATCTGATCGAAGAATGTCCGGCGTCCGTCTGTCGTGTGTAATCTGTAGTCTGTAAACGTTTCACATTTTCGACTTCTTCTCAAGAACCACTGGGCCAATTTCCACAAAACTTGCCATAAAGCATACATACGTAGATGGGATTTAAGTTTGTTCACAGGAAGTGCCACATCCTCTTTTAAGAGAAGATAACAAAGGATTCGTAAAAATTCGGTTCATCTTTTAAAAAAAATCTTCTTAGGTGCCACTGGGCCAGAAAAGATGAAACTTATTTGCGAGCTTCATTATATACTGTAAATCAATTTTTTTCATATTACGTCCCCTGGAGTTAGGCCGGGGCCACAACAGGAGAAAAATAGAAGTCCGCCCTATGATTTTGAAAGGGGATTTTTTAAAATACTTTTTAACAAGAAGAGTATAATCTTTATGAAGTTGTTTTTATAAATATTTTTCAGGTGCACAGATGATGATATGTATACTTATTCAGGTAGTCAGTGTGAGAGTAAAACTTATTCATGGAAATTGTGGACAATCATCGCTTCTGGTGTAGGAGGGGGAATCATTGTTATTCTCCTCTTTGCCGTCGTCATACAGTGTGCAAGGAAGAAAGCGGGATCATCTAATCAAAAATATGGCTATGATTCAGGGTATACATGTTTATTCTTTATGGGGGTTTTATAATTTGGCAGTAAGAGTTTCCATTAGAAATTCATTTTATTTTTCTGGACATTATTACTCTCTAAAAAACCAATATTATAACAAACAAGTCAAATAGAAGTATGTCATCTAATATAATATTCAAAATAATACTTAATTAACAGTGTGTAATTGACATTTAGGTTTGACGACCGTGAGAATTTGATGTATGATAGAAGGTATGTTAGCCCAGACGAATACCACAGAAAACCCCTACCACGGGACGAAGACACAGCGGATCAAGTGGTTTGTTTTTTCTGTCTCCGATTAGTGTGCTTCGCCTGTTTTTATTCTGTAAACCAGTTTCCCTCTTTATTTTGTGATTTATTCGTACTTCGTTAATATGCTAACGTGACAAGACGTGGTTTACTTCTTGCAGTTTTACAATACTTTAATTTATAAGAACGAGAAGGTTCTGCTTTTCTTGTCTGACAGAATCGAATTTGATGTTTCCAAGTTCCTATTCTCCTAGGCATCACTACACATTGAAGTCGTGTCCTTGAAGAAGCGTACAACAAGAACCTCATGCACAATCCAACATCTGAGTCATCCCCCTCCCCCAATGAATATTCTAATAAATGAAAAACCTTCTTGTGGCCATCTGCCTTATTTATGTAAACAATGTATTCATATTAATACAGATAACTTTGCATCAGCTGGTTTCTAGAGAATGATTTCGAAATATTTCCCATACATCCCTAATAAAAACTTTGACCCCATGATGCGACCTTAGTCAAGCTCAGGGCTAAATATTTGAAGAAAAAAATAATTGAAGCTATGCCATGAAAATGGTGAAGATAACAAACAGAGATCGATCTAAAAAACCTACAAACAATACAGATTTGTTAACAGAGTACAAAACACGTACATTTGCCGTGAGCCCTATGTATTGATCAGGTAGGCGGAATATTCCTTAGTCAAATTTAGTATAAAACAAAGGCCTAACAATTGGTATGAAATATGTCAGTCAGAATACGACCAAATGATAGGTTACGTTTGCTTGTAAGGTCATTAAAACAATCATAGACCTTAAGAAATGCTGACTCTAAACGAGGATGTTGAAATCCCTGTAACATCAACTTGTCTGTCGGTAGCCTACCTTGGTTTAATGATTGATTGATTGTATGTTGTTTTACGTCCCATTTGAGAATTTTTCACTCACATAGAGATACCGGTGAAGGGCTTCAAATTTTGACCTTTACTCGGCACTCAGGGCCATTGAGCAGTGAATGATCGCCTGCCGTGACAGGTCTCATCCGAAGGACCCGCAACTTTCACTTCAAAGTGCCGAGCGCATGGCGAAGGAAAAGTTGCTACCCATTTTTTATCGACTTAGGTCAGTCGCGGCTGAGATTCGAACTCACGACCTCCCGATCACGGAGCGAGCGCTCTACCGACTGAGCTACCGTGAACGGTGCCTTGGTTTAAGAATTGATTGTTCTCAGAGCTTGTCCTTGAGTATCAAACAAGTTGGGAGACATAAACACCATTTGCAGGTATTACATAATTAAAGAAAGTTGACGGGGGAAAAGCTGAGGTCATCACGTTTGTCATACAATTTAGGCTGTTAGTTGGCCATTGTCGGCAACTAATTCAGTAAAACATAAAAATACAAAACAGATGTGGGAGACTATGAGGTAATCTATTAATTGAATTTACTGGTATACCTCGAGTCGACATATGAATGGAAGTATCTATTGTTATTTGAGAAAACGTCGTCGATATATCTGTTTGTTTGTTTGTTTGTTTGTTTATTGTTTAACGTCCCTCTCGAGAATTTTTCACTCATATGGAGACGCCACCATTTGCCGATGGAGAGCTACAAATTTTGACCTATACTCCGCACTTAGGGCCATTGAGCAGTGAGGGATCTTTTTCGTGCCAACACCTACTGCGACACGGGACCTCGGTTTATACGGTCTCATCCGAAAGACCGGTCTCCACGTCCCACAGTGGGATTCGAACCCGCGACGTAAGGATCAACTCCTTACTCCGCGACTCTAAAGCGAACGCTCTAACCACTGCGCCACTCGGGCGACTCTATATATCTGAATGTCGAGTTGAAGGCCACAGCGAGTGTTTTCTTCTTCTCCTGTAGGTTTTTGAATAAATTCTGCTTCGGGTCGGCAACTTAAGGAGCACAATTAGACCCCAACGGAATTCCAGCAGCTTGTTATAAGAGAGCTCTTACACAACGTTTAATCTTTTCTTGCCCTATGGTTCTTCAACATAACAATCATAAATGCATCACACCTGTTTTTAAATACATGTATTTTTATATTTAACTGTTAATATCCTCTATATTAATGGTTATTAAAAAGTAGGAAAATAAACATTCTTGAATTGACAAATTCAAAGTTACTGTGATGACAGGACTAGGATAATGATTTTGAGGAATATCCAAAACTGCCTCTTTCTTTACTCCTCACCTAAATGGTTTCAATATTGTATTTTGAACTATGTTCCAGTTACCTAAACTAGTCATTGTCTTTTGAGAAAGTCATGACACTCGGTCGTGGGTAACAACATACAATAGTTTCAATTTCTTTAAATTGATATGAAAGGTTCCAGATTTATGACACAGACTTTCTACTGAGTAAGTAGCTGTATAAGCATGTAGAAAATTTTATCAATTCAGATAATTAACAAGAAAATGAGCAACAAAATGCCAATATATGGATTCAAAGAAACAGAAAACCATAAAATTATAATAATGATAATAAAAATTAGTTAACTACGCCGTGAATATTTGGACAACTAACACTGTTTGAATTCTGCCAGTATTCTGTAATAATTCAAACTGTAATATTTTCAACAAACAACTTTTTAAAAACAAATGTTACACACAGTCGTTTCACAGAAAGCAGGGTATTGAATATGATTTTAATTGTTTTTATGACCTGTTCACAGATTTTGAGATCGACCACTGTTCATTAACTTCCCCTTTTTCATTTTATAGCTATCTTATGCAAACATTACTAATTTGACATTTGTAGAACTTACAGTCCTTTGAGAACCGGGGTTATGACCACTGGGAACCATCAGACAGCAAAGATACCTATGCTTCCATGGACAGACACTTCCAAGATCCAGCCTTTCATGCTCAGGTATATTTTTCTTATCTAAATACACAGTAAAAAGGCTCTGGATGGGAGTGATAGAAACTTTTCTAAATGGTTGCTAGACACACAAGCAGGAGATAGCTAATTAGTGACCTTAAATACTTCATGTAGTATGGTTTCTGTAAAAACTAGTATTATTTGTCTATACCGGCGTGACTTTTTATAATTAATTTATGAGTTTGATGTGGCGACATACAGATTTGCTAACTGCATTTTAATTTCATTGTTGGATGATTGTAATTAATACAAGACAGTAGATGTAAATATAATTAAGGTTCTTTAAAACTGCTATACACGCTTTCAGATAACAAGACCAAAGCTAACAACAAGTAAATACGGGACTGATAAGGTTTGATTTAGTTCTCTTAATTTTAAAATTCAAGTATTTCAATAATAACACTATTACGAATGAATTAAATATTTATGGCATTTTTTTCCATACAGCTTACCCCATTTTGACAACAAAATGAGATTGGAACTCAACAACCAGAACGTCCGTCCATACTTTCTTCTGGAAGAATGAAGGAGTCCTAAATGAAACGAAAGATAAAAAAAGACATGAATTCTGAAGTGTTCATTGTGAATTATCTCTCTACAACTTTGAAATAAATCCTCATTAAGCTGTATGGCATGGGCTATAAGTGATGTTTGCAAAACACTTCATAATCATGTTCGTTTAAGTTCGATAATTGTTACATTCTAATAGATGATATTAAAATATAAGATTTCTAACTTACAGATAATATAAAATATAAATAATGATGTGAATATGATAAATTTTCTTTTTTATCAATTGCAGTTACTCAGTGTAATAAATCTAAAAGTAAAAAGTATTTACAATTTTTAGCTTACCTGAGCTGAATGCTCAAGTGAGCTTTTCTGATCACCTTTCGTCCCTCATCCGTCCGTCTGTCTGTCCGTCCGTTTGTCTGTCTGTAAACTTTTCACATTTCAAACTTCTTCTCAAGAACCACTGTGCCAATTTTGACCAAAGTTGGTACAAAGCATTCTTGGGTGAAGGGAAGTTTTAATTGTTAAAATGAAGGACCAAGCCCCCTTACAAGGGGAGAAAATCAAGAAACAAAAAAAGGTGGGATCATTAAAAAATCTTTTTCTCAAGAACCACTGGGCCAGAAAAGCTGAAACTTATATGGAAGCATCCTGGGGTAGTGAAGATTCTAAATTGTTCACATCATGATCCCTGGGGGTAGGGTGGGGCCACAATGGGGAATCAAAGTTATACATTAAAATATATAGGAAAAATCTTCTTCTCAAGAACCACTGGGTCAGAAAAGCTGAAACTTACATGGAAGCATTCTGGGGCGATGAAGATTCTGAATTATTCAAATCATGACCACCAGGGGTAGGGGGGCTACAATGGGGAATCAAAGTTTTACATTAAAATATATAGGAACAATCTTTAAAAATCGTCTTCTCAAGAACCACTGGGCCAGAAAAGCTGAAACTTACATGGAAGCATTCTGGGGCGATGAAGATTCTGAATTATTCAAATCATGACCACCAGGGGTAGGGGGGCTACAATGGGGAATCAAAGTTTTACATAAAAATATATAGGAACAATCTTTAAAAATCGTCTTCTCAAGAACCACTGGGCCAGAAAAGCTGAAACTTACATGGAAGCATTCTGGGGTAATGTAAATTCTTAATTGTTCAAATCAATACCCCTTGGGTTAGGGTGGGGCCACAAAGGGGAATCAAAATTTTACAATGAATAAATAGGAAAAATCTTCTTCAGAAAAGCTGAAACTTACATGGAAGCATCCCAGGGTAGTGAAGATTCTAAATTGTTCAAATCTTAACCCCTAGGGGTAGGGTGGGCCAAAATCGGGAATCAAAGTTTTACATTAAAATATATAGGGAAAATCTGTTAAAATTTTCCTCTCAAGAACCACTGGGTCAGAAAAGCTGAAACTTACAAGAAAGTATCCTGGAATAGTGTAGAATTTAAATTGTTCCAATCCTGACCCCAGGGGATAGTAATATAGGGTGGGGCCACAATATGTATTACAAGGGGGAAATCTGGTGAAGAACAGCAGGGCCAAAGTTACGCAGGTGAGCGTTGTGGCCCATGGGCCTCTTGTTTATTTTAGTCGGGTTTTCAATAAATACATTGAAATGTTCTCTTTTTCCTTGTCTCCTGTGTAATCTCATATAGAGGTCAATATGAATAGAATCTTTTTTTTTATTTAAAAATATATTACCATTTATTCCTTATCTCAAGTCTTTAGCGGAAAAAGAGAAGATAACCGAAGTGATTAAGGTCATTTCAAGTTTTTTCTATGATTAGCGTCGACCCTAAAATAAAAAAAAATCATCTGGGAAAACTAACTAGCGGAAAGGGAAAAAAATAACATTATAATTATTAATTATAATTATCATCACCATCTGAGGATTTTTCTTCGCATTGTAACAAAGATTAATTTGTTCAGTGAATTTAGAATTTTTGGTACACAACCATAAAAAATGCGATGCCGATCTAAAAAGAGTAAATTGTGTTACTAGTACTTGTATTTATTCATATTTAGTGTGTATTTGATTTTAAATCTGTAACCTCAGGACTAATCCGTCCGCGGGCTCTAAAATAGGAAGAAAAAAATACTCCCAACAATCAGAATAAATATGAATTATTCTATATTTACTGGATTCCTAAACTTCATAAAAATCCTTACAAAGATACATTGCGGGTTTCAGTAAATGTACATGTTCTACCACGCCTCTTTCTTTACTCCTCACTAAAATATTTATTGTAGTTAAGGAGAAACTTCAGGAGTATTGTACAACAGTATATTCGAGATTGGTATAAATCAGATACATTGTATGTGGATACTTGAAAACCCCAAGGAACTTTCAGAAAATTTGAAATCACAATATTTTACCAATTTCAATAACATCAAAACATACGACTTTTTAACACTATATACAACATTTCCCACCATAAATTGAAGTCCAGGCTTTTTGACATCATAGACAACTGCTTTTTCAATAAAAATGGAACTCGTAAATATATACTTACCTTGTCATTGGTCATTTGCAAAAATAGTTTGTTAAAAAGCATTCTGATTGTCCACACAAGTACTCTGAAGTTGATATTTAAAAGGTGCTTTAGTTTCTGACTGACAATATCCATGTAGTTTTTTTCAGCTCCTCCAACAATTCGTTGGAATTTCCATGGGTATCAATTGCGCCCCGTTCTACGCAGACCTATTTTTGTATTCATATGAAGCAGAATTTATTCAAAACTTCTACATGAGAAGAAGAAAAACGCTTGCTGTGGCCTTCAACTCGACATTTCGATATATCGATTACGTATTATCAATTAACAATAGTTACTTCCATTCATATATCGACTCGATATATCCCCGTGAACATGAAATAAAAGATTCCACAGAGACTGACACATCTGTTTCATATTTGGATATTTTACTTAAAAAAGACCTAATGGTAACTTAGCAACAAAACTTTATGATAAAAGTGATGACTTTAAATTTTATATCGTTAACTTTCTTACTTTTGTAGCAAAATACCCTTATCACCTGCATATGGAGTTTATGTCTCCAAGTTGATTCAATAAACAAGAGCATGCTCCATGTACGAACAATTTCTAAAACGAGGCAAGCTATTGACAAATAAGGTGATGATACAAAGATATACAGAGTCTCGATTGAAGTCAACATTTTGCAAGTTTTATGGTCGATACAATGACCTTGTCAGCAAATACAAACTATCATTTAGTCGAATGCTGACTGACTTTTCATCCTTATTGTGAGACCATTATTTCCACACTGAATTGTCTACGGATTTTTCCGTATGCCTGATCATGACAAGGAGCGACGGGTGTGACCGGTTGACAGGGGATGCTAACTCCTCCATGGCACCTGATCCCAACTCTGATGTTTTTAGAGGTCCCTATTTGCTCTGATCCCGATTTGTGTTGTTTCAATGGATTCTGAGCTTGATTACTGTTTGTTATCTCCATTTTTCATTCATTAATTATTTCTTCATTTTATTTATCTCCTTTTTTTACTTTTTTCCTTCCATTTTGTCTTACCGTTAATTACAATTTCTGTGTCTTGTCCCGAGTTTGTAACAGAGCAATATTCATCGGCTTCAAACTTTCCTTCTTGTGTGTCTGTTTTTACAAAGGAGTCTATTTTTATTTCTTGTACCTTTTCATTCCGATTCTTTTTTAACTCGTTCTCTTTATCGTTTCCATCAGGTTCCATGTCTTGTACCCCTTCAGAATCCATGTTTATTTGTTCACTGCTTTCGTTCTCTTTTTTGAGCTCTGTCTCTGATCTTTGGCATTCATTGTGAATCATGAACACATTTGCTGTGTGTTTCATTTTCCACATCGATAACATGATGAAGTTTGACATACTCTTGTATAATGTCCTTGCTGTGTACACTTTCAAAAACAAGCACACAAATAGCATAACGAACACACTTTAGCTTATCTATTGCTTCCATCCTTAACTAGTTTTATGCCAATGTTCAACAAATACTGAAAATGTAGCTTAATTACACATTAAACACGAACTCATATACAGTATACCTTCTGTAAAAAGACAAATGGCAGGTATTCACATCTTACAGATTAGATTAAAGCTTATATTCCGCAAGCAAAATTCCTCGTGCTGACTCTGCAGAAGCAAACAGAAATTCCCCCAGTTTATTTTTCACACTCGCACAGAAGATTGATTTATTGATTGTATGTTATTTTCTGTCCCGTTCGAGAATGTTTCACTCATAAAGAGACGTAACCATATACCGGTGAAGGGCTTCAAATTTAGACCTTTACTTGACACTCAGGGTCATTTAGAAGTCAGGGTTCTTTATCGTGCCAACGCCTACCATGATACGGGGCCTCGGTTTTTAAGGTCTCATCCGAAGAATCCGCAACTTTCACCTCAAAGTGCCGAGCGCTTGGCGGAAGAACAGTTGCTACCTATTTTTTGTCGACTTAGGTCAGTCGCGGCCGTGATTCAAACAAACGACCTTCCGATCACGGAGAGAGACCTACCGTGACGGCTCGCACAGAAGATACAATATTTTTACTTGTAAGAAGTATTCTCCTGAAAGATTGTACAAACGGAATAAAATGTAAATTATAATGAAAAGCTCATAAAAAAAATTAAATGATTACAATTGCTGATTGAGGTGTATCTGATTTTTTAAATCCTATTTTCATTAATCTTTTTAATTACATAAAAATACTTTCTACAAATTAAAAAGAGCTGCTATTTCTTTATTTGTAACAATTTTACGCATATAGTTACGAAGAAAGATAACTCTTCACGCGGGATGTGTTAAGTTCAGAAAAAGCGAAATTTCCGTATCTATTGCGAGATCGATTTTAACTCTTATTTAATTTAAAATCAATTTCAAAACATTATCTTTTTCCATAATTTTATATTCCTCTTCAAGGTTCAATACCTTGAACGATGACGTCACAACTGTATCAAAACAAAAATTAAGAGCCTGTGAAAAGGACTATATTCTGTAGTGGCCAATATCTGCCCCCAAAATAAAACTTTGATGGAGAAATCTTTAATTATGTTCTAAACCAGGTGGATATTTGTAGACTTCAAAGCATTAAATATTTTTATCAACTATGACATCATTAGTTAGATATGACGTCAATAAAATGACGTAAATTCCAAATTGCAATGATTTTGAGAGAAAATAGTGTATTTTACGTCGGTATTTTGATTGAAAATTATCGAGCGCAGGTCTGCTCAGACTAGATCTTTTGATATAATGTGTAGA